GAGACCATCCAGACAGAAAGCCCAATATTTTACTGTTGCCTTTTGTTACATTTGTGTAGTATTTGTGCTGATAAAAAAATAAAGGGAGACTAGTATAGTCTATTTCAAGCTATTTAGCTCTCATCAGCTAGCCATACCCTTACTGGGATTCGAACCTGGGCTGTATTACATATTATGAATGAAATAGATCTATACTAGTCTCCCTTTATTTATTTATCAGCACAAATACTACACAAATGTAACAAAGGCAACAGTAAAATATTGGGCTTTCTGTCTGGATGGTCTCTTATGACGAGCCGATGGACAGAGAATGGAAGCAGTTAGCTTCCTCCCATTATTGGGGAATACCAGGGGTTGTGACTTTATATATATATAAAAATAGGAGATCAATAAAAGCATGTTTTTGAGTAAATGATTATTGATTTTTAAATTATGTATAACTTAAAATTATATATTCCTTATTCTTAGAAAACAGAATGAATTTTCATAGATATTCTTCTCAGCTACTAATTTTGGAAATGCTTTCCAAAGATGAAAAAACTAATATAATTCATTTTATATTGTCTTATTTCAGCAAGTCATTGATAATTCATTATGAAGATAATCCATTAGTAAAACTTTAAAAGGTTTACACAGGAATTTCAGCAGTCCTTGCAGATTGTAATAATTGGTAAGAAAATTGGTACATATTGCATCTTTGGAGGGAATGCACCATTTGTTTATTGTTTGGTTCAACGTTTTTTTCCCCCATAATAAATCCAGCTAATGTTTTACCAGTGACACAAACATGTAACATTAAGAAAAGAATTCAATTGTTAATTGACAGTTTCTTATCATAAAATTCTTGGAGATTAAAATATAGCTCATTCAAAAAGAGATGTTTGTTTGAAACATGATATGACTGAAAAAATGAAAAAAACAGCTACTTTGAAAAATTGTAAGATATTACCATTTGTTATATATACCGTATTAACAAACAAATCTTCCCCGGGAGATTAGTTTTACCTATACAAATTCATTCTGGATAAGAATCCTAAATATTAAATTTAAAATATTTGTATTTTTTTTAATGGTCACACACATACAAACACATGGAGAAGAAAAACTCAGGCATTTCCAAAGTGTTTATTCTTTTTCCTTTGCTTTTAATGTTGTCCAAAGCTTATTGTTCTTTTTAACTGTTTCTAACTCAGCAACATCACACCTGCCACAATACTCCACAAGATTTCATGTAACAGCTAGTCAAGGAGAAGTAATGAAAAAAAAAAAAAATCTAAGGAGGAAGGTAAAATCTGAAATGGTAGGAAAAGTCATTCTTCTTAGACTACCTCTTTAATCTGTCTGTGTTCAGTTTAATCCTTGACACACATTTCTCCCCTTTCCACACAAACAGCCTTTTAAAAGGTAAAAATTAAACCTACTGATTATTAAGAGGAAACCTATGAAAAAAGATTGCAAAGGTATTTGTCACCACTGTGGTGGGGGTGGGTTGGAAATATCTGAGGGTTTTAAATTCTGGCTTTTCATTGCTTTATACCACCAAGAGTCATTATGTGTGAGCTGGGCAGATACATAAATCTTTTTTGTAATAAATAACTATACTGAAATCTTCTGCACATTTTTTAAGCTGAGGGTGGGGGAAGAGATATAAGAAACCGTTAGACAGCAGTCACCTATGAGAAACTCCTTTCACCTTTGCATTGTATATCTGAGATCAAATAAAAACAATGACAATACCATGAAATGTTTACCAGTGAAGATTTCATTGTTTTCTTGCATTGCAAAGGTAAAAATAAAATCCCACTCAAATCAAGCTTGACTCTTGGTGACTTCAAGTAGATGTTATAGCAATAAGTAGGGTTTTTTTTCAACTTTTCAGCCCAATTTTCATTTCTGGAATACCCTCATGATCTTCCATCTGCTTCTACTAAGCAGATCCTACTTCATTTTTCAGTTAGGCACTGCCACCACCTGTGAGTTAGTATCCTGATTTTTTAGATTAATAATAAAAACTGCCGTTTTACACAAATTTATTAAAGCAGAATATTTAAAGCATTTTACTGTTACATATTATATCACATTCATTATCTATTTACTCATCAGATTTAGATTTATGGACACATTTTTTATGCTTACCTAGTGAAAAAGGAATAAATGCTTCTTTCTTGACAAACTGTCCTGAGTTGTCCAAAAATCTTTCAGGACAAAACATTTCAGGGTTATTCCAGTATTTTTCATCAAAATGTACAGAATAGAGATTTGTGATTACAGTAGTGCCTTGTGGGATAGAGTAACCACGGACAACTGTATCCTTAGAAGTTGCATGAAAAATACCTAATGGAACTATATTACAGAACCTTAAAATTTCATGTAGCACTGCCTCCGTATATGGCATTTTACACTTATCTTCTAGGCTTGCTGTTTTGTTGGGACCAATGACTAAGTCAATTTCTTTATGCACTTGTCCTGTTAAAAGAAAAAGCTTTTAGACTGTATCTAAGCATCTACATTACATGTACATCATAACATTTGTACTTACGTATGAAATTTCAATGTAAGATTAACAAAGGGGTTTGTTTTTAGATTGTCACTTGAACATTAGTGGACTATACAGAACTGTATGACTGCTGTTTCTGTTACTTCTAAAGTTATTCCCCCCCACCCCTTTCTATTCAGGTATGTATATAAACTCTATGTAGATTATATAATCAACCTCGAGGGGCTGCAATGGCTCAGGTGGTAAGACACTGGGTCTGCACGCTGCTAAGGTCAACAGTTCATTGGTTCAATTCCCGTGAGTGAATAAACTGCGGAGGGACAAGAAAGGAGTCTTCCCCAACTGCCTACTGGCTAAGGTTGACAGCTTGGTGGTTCAATTCCCGTGAGTGAATAAACCACCACGGAGGGACAAGAAAGGAGCCTTCCCTGATTGCCTACCAGCATTCAGGCATCCCACGGTTAAAGATAACACTGCCCGAAAAAATTCCTTTCACAAAGGCAGCAACCTACCTCGGAGATCCCTGGCTAATACATGCCATCCGCTAAATAAAATCAACCTGGAACATAATCATACATTTGAGCAATAGCTGAAAATTCAGAAATGTTGAAGACTCCAGACTTGTTTTGTGTTCTTGCATTAATTAAGTCTTTCTATAAACTCGGTCTTTTTGATCCTCAGCTCTCTAATACTTTTAAGTAAAAATTTCATGGAGTATTCCCTGGAATCTTTGAGTACAAAGTGTGTGTTATATCATCAAGCTATAAGTTTTTCCCCAGTTCCTATATTAAAGAATTATTGCAAAAGGGACTGTAAGCTCATCCACATTTTATCTTGGGACTGAAACAATGTCCATCCTCATATTACTTCATTAAAACACATTCTATTTAGTACATGGTGACATGGTGTCAGTCTGGTATACCTTTTTCTATCATTATTTTGATTTTTTAATTTATTGACAGGTGTTTCAACACAACCTTTTAAAAAGCAATTTATTATTACTTCACAAATATACAAAACTGTATATTTTATTATAAAAAATGTTATTTAGAAGAAATTGTTCCAAACTATTTTTCATATAGGAATCCCTAAGCAACATCTTGTCTATAAATATTATATTTTAGTAATATTAAAAACAATATTTACGGCATGGTTGGTATCCACAAATACTTCTCCCAACTGAGGTAAACAACTTTAAAGATGTCTTATGTTTTCAACATTTTTTTTAGTCCTAACAAGAAAAACCATCTGACAACATATCATCTGTGCTCTTATAACAGTCATAGGTCTTCTTTAACATTTCAAATACTTCATCATATCTTAACCAAATTTGATGCTTCCTGATAGATTTATTCTATATTCTAGTAAGGATTATAATTCTATATTCCTTCTGTCATATTATTCTGTATATTCTTCTTAGCATATCAAGAAAGAAATACAAAGTTGCCTACACAGCCAATCTGCACCCATTTCGTGCTTGTCAGAATTTGTTTTGCTATATGTCAAGGTAGGGCAAGAAGATGTACCATATTTTTCGGAATATAAGATACACCGGAGTATAAGACGCACCCAGGTTTTGAAGAGGCTTTTTTTTTAAAGGAGGTAGGTAGATAGAGGGTTAGAGAAAGAGAGAAAGAGATAGAAATACAGTAGGTAATTAGGGAGAGAGAGAGAGAGTAGTTAGGTAGGTAGCTAGATAAAGAGAGAGAGAGAAAGATAGATAGATAGAAAGAAAGAAAGAAAGAAAGAAAGAAAGAAAGAAAGAAAGAAAGAAAGAAAGAAATGCAGTAGGTAGGTGGGGGGGAGAGAGAGTAGAGATAGAGAAATAGAGAGAGAAAAATACAGAAGATTGGGTGGGAGAGAGAGAGAGTAGGTAGGTTGGTAGGTAGAGGGATAGAGAGGGAGAAATAGAGAGATAGAGTAGATAGGTAGGGGGGGAGAGAGAGAGTAGGTAGGTAGGTATATAGGGGGAGAGGGAGAAATACAGTACATAGGTAGGGAGAAAGAGAGAATAGGTAGGTAAATATAGGGATGGAGAGAGAGAGCAAGAAAGAGAGAAATACAGTAGGTAGGTAGAGAGAGAGAGAGAGAGAGTAGGTAGGTAGGTAGGTAGGTAGATGTTTCCAGGTGTATTTACCCATGTGCTAGAGAAGGAAATTGCTGAAACCTATAGCACCTAAAACTTGTTTGTGGTGGCACAGCACTTGACCAATGTAATTCTCATCAACCACACTAACTAAACAGCTTTCCAAAAAGGGGGGGGGAGTTTTTGCACTCTGCAAACCTTCCCAAAACGACCCATTTTTCACAAAATCGGGCCTGTTTTTTTTAAAAAAAGGATGCATAGCCTTCGGGGGGGGCTTACAGAGTGCTCCTGGGGGGCGGGGGGGACAAAAAACAAGCAAAAATGGCCCATTTTTCACAAAAATGCCCCCTTTTATCAAAAATATTGCATGTATAGCTATATGGAGGCTTATAGAGTGCTACTGGGGGTGGGGGGGCTCTCCCCAGCCCCCAGGAGATCTCTGAAAGCCTCCATAAGGCTACTCACGGCCATTTTGGTTAAGGGGTGGGGCTTTAGGAGGCAAAAAATGCTGTATTCGGTGTATAAGTATAACCTTCATTGTCATTGTACTTAAATACAATGAAATTGGTTTTAACCTCACTGGTGCAAAATTTTAGCAGAAATGAAAAAAGAAAAAAAACTAGCATGGAGTGATTGTAGTTGTATTTAAAAGTCTGACAGCCCAAGGATAGAAACTATCTTTAAACCTCTTTGTTCAGTTGGCTATACTTTGATGCCTTCTGCCCGATGGTAGAAGTAAGTACAAAGAGACATTGACCAGGTGTGAATCATCTCTGAGTATCTTCCTTATTCTGCTAAAGCAGCGAGATCTGGCGATGTCATCCAATGGTATGAGAGGGCAACCAATGGTTTCTTGTGCCAAATTGATCACTCTCTGTAGGGCCTTCCTGTCCGCAGCAGTTAAACCAGCTTACCATACTGTTACGCAATATGTGAGGACACTTTCTATGTGGACCGATAGAAAGAGGTCATCAGCTGTTGTTCCACCTGATTTTTCCATAGGACTCTAAGGAAATGAAGTCTCTGTTGGGCCTTTCCAATCACCAGAGACGTGTTGTTTTTCCAGGTGAGATCTTGACTAATAAGCACTCCCAAGAATTTAAAGGAGGAAACCCTCTCCACACAGCTCCCCTTGATATACAATGGGGCAGGCTGCTCTCTTTTTAGAGGAAAAAATGTGCTTCTTATACTCCGAAAAATACGGTATGTATGTATGTATGTATGTATGTATGTATGTATGTATGTATGTCAGGTTCAGTATACAAGGCCATTAATTTATGTCAAATAATATTAATTGAAATTTATTCTCCAAAATAATAGTAAGGTAAGGTAAAGGTTCCCCTCGCACATATGTGCTAATCGTTCCCCAACTCTAGGGGGCAGTGCTCATCTCCATTTCAAAGCTGAAGAGCCAACGCTGTCCAAAGACGTCTCTGTGGTCATGTGGCCGGCATGACTAAACCTCGAAAGCGCACAGAACGCTGTTACCTTCCCACCAAAGGTGGTCCCTATTTTTCTACTTGTATTTTTTACGTGCTTTCAAACTGCTAGGTTGGCTGAAGCTGGGAGAAGTAACGGGAGCTCAGTCCATTATGCAGCGCTAGGGATTCGAACTGTCGAATTTTCTGATTTACAAACTCAGCGTCTTAGCCACTGAGCCACCACATGCCTAAAATACTAGTAGGAACTGATTAATAGTGGCCAAAGAAGCCCAATTTTAATAACCTCACCAGTGCAATAATTTGACAGGTCACTGTTTTAATATATCATCCAAATTTCAGTAATTTTAGGGAAACTCTCCCAAATCTTTAAGGTGAATGTGGGCTACAGTGTGGTTATAAATTGTATTAGTAGAAAAATGATGTTCTTACTTATCATTCCATGCAAACCTCTCATCATAACAACTGCATATTACTTACCTTGGATATTAGGATAAAGAGCCATGAACAAGACTGCCCATCTTAGAACATTTGTTGTAGTTTCTGTTCCAGCAATTATAAGTTCTCCAACTGAAAAAATTAAATTTTCCATTGAAAATACAGATTCTGGATCATTTTTATTCTTATCCATTTCATCTAAATATACATCTACAAAATGCCGAGGTGCTTGAGGCTTCCTGTTCTGCGAGAAGCGCTGAATAAGGTGTAGTAAAAAAGTATAGACTTCAGCAGCATTTCTAAAAAGTTGTTGATGTTTTCCAAAAGGCAAGTTTCCAATCCATGGGAAAGCATTGTATAAAAACACTGAAGCGCTGGCAGCCAATTCAATATTTTCACTGAATATTTCCATCATATGCTGAAATTCAGTGTCTTCGTAGGTAAATCGTTCTCCAAAAATAATTAAGTTACTAATGTTTGAAACGGCATTTGTTATCAAGTACTTTAGATCAAAAGCTTTGCCTTTGTAAGTATCAATGGCATCAAGAAAAATAACCGATTCTTCTGCTATTTTGCTTTCAAAGGACTTTTGGCAATATCCAAAATTTCGAAAGCTAGTTACTGCTAATTTGCGATGCTCTGTCCAACCTCTGCCATATCTTGCATTCAGCAAACCTGAAACATGCAACATATTTATATATTTAATTCATAATTAACTCATAATTCATAATTATTTGTTATAATTTTATTATATTATCATCTATTACCTTTCTTTATTTTTTCAGACAGAATTTGTTTTTGCCAAAAATAGTAAACTACTAACTATCAGGAACATAATTTCTATGTTTTGATTCAACGTTAAGTGCACAAATCATATTATTCTACTCAACGACTCAATTTGTTGTATCTATCTTTATATCTACAAGAAGGTCTCTGAGTATAGGAGAATGGGCATCTTTTAGCAGTTACCATAACAAATTTATCATAAAAGTCCCCCCACCCCAAAAGGACATTTTCAATGAAGAAATCTATTTCATTAAATAATTATCTTAAACTATGTCTACAAGGTAGTCCTGTTTTTAAAAAATCAAAAAGCTATACAGAATCATATGGAAAATTGAATGCACCTGAAACAACACTTGTAATCAATTAATATACAGGAGGACAATAATATTAAAATCACGCATTGCCCTAATTCAGTGATGCCAGCCAATTACATGGCATCCATTAAAAAGAGAAAAAGTAGATTCTACTTGAGGACTAATTAGAGAAGAGTTTCTACACTAATGTTCTTATGTAACCATATAGTGAGATACCACATACTACAAAAACAGAATGCAGTTTTGGTGATAGTATCAGAAACACCTAGCCTGAAGAGTCTGTTTTGTTATTCATTTTCTGAAAAGACTATGTGTTTGCTTGCCTTAACTTTGCTTCTTCATATGAATCCACAACCTACACAATCTGCTAGTGACCATTTGGGGCTGGCCCATCTTATACAACTTTGTGACTTGTATATGACTCTAATTTCCTGCCATTTGTTCTCAATATCTTTGTTCCTCTTTTTTTCTTCATGATCATCAATTTGTTGCCTTTTGCTGTACTGTTAAAGACTGTGGCTTTTTGTTTTTTGTGGTTTGGCTTCTGGTATCTCTGTCCTTTGGGCTATTTTGGCTTAGGAATCCATAGAGGTTTTCCATTTAAGTCCAACAGCCCGAAGATTTAAGGTGTAAAGACCTCAGAAAGATTGACAATGTGTGTTTAACTTGAAAGTTTGCATTCTGGTTATTCTTGGCTGCCAAGTTTTCATTCTCCACCTATCTTCATTCTCTACCTATCCACAGGATTTTAACTTTTAGTATTACAGTTTTATCAAAAGAGTTCGGTTTCATATTATCTAGCTAATTTTTCTTTTATTCAATATACTGGTATCTTATGAAGTTTGGAGAATCATATGTCAAAGAGAAGTGAGATACAACACAAGTACAGTGGAACATCAGGTCAAAACCATAATCTGTTCCAGGACTTTGGTCAGCACCTGATTTGGCCGTGGCCGGAAGCAAGTCTGATTGCGCATATGCGCACACACAAAAAGGCACAGAACGTGAAATCGCTGCAGCAGAGAAAATCTGATCGCCACCCAAGGATGTGTTCATGAACAGAGTGAAACATTTAGCAGATTTTTTTGGTCCCGCACCCGATTTGGTTGTGGTCAGAAGCATTCATGACTTGAAGTTCCACTGTATGCACATGTTCCACAGATATGTATGGATTGTTATGGAATCATATTTGGGACAGACTCTTGTTTGGCATATGTGGACCTATTTGAGACTCAAGTTAAGATTCAGCTTCACTCGCCTGGGAACTCCAACTGCAGCAACTTCAACTTGCACTGCTTGTAAGCCTTTGGTCTAATTTGGCATCTCAAATCAGGGTGCAAACAAAATATATTCAAGACTAGTTTTTTTTTTTTCAAAATAAAAGATAAGATTATAGACAGAGTTCAAAACAATTCTGCTATACAATAAACTTTTATTTTAAAAAATCACCAATGACAATAGACATACCTCCCATTTTGGTCAGCTTCTTGAACAAAGGCAGAGAAGGCCTATCTGAGAAAACTTCACCTTGCTGAACAAGGCATTCTTTTACTGCGTCATAGCCATTCAGTACAATAGTTGATATGCCTCCAAGATCAAGACTAAAAATCTTAAGAAATAAAAAAAACTGCATATGAAAGATATATTAACAAATAGTCTCATTCATTTGTATTTTCCAAATTCCACAGATAATCCGCTGATCCTCTCTTTGCCTAAGATTACTATCACCATACAAACACAGGCACACTACACACAGTGAGTTTCCTGTTTGTTTTTACCTTCCAGTAAAAAGTTATTTTGACTTTTTCTCCGCCTCAAAACTCTGTATCCAAGCTTTCAACTGGTTGCTTAAAACGTTCATTCAAAACATAAGCAGAGAAGAAAAGCTGTTTGACCCTTATTGCATACTTTAACAGAAAGAAAATAGGATTTTGTTTTTAAAAAATCTAGAAAACTCGGCAGCTGACACTTTTAAATTTATACTGGACAAATCTGTTTGGAGGACAATTTATTGAAACAGGTGGTTGGTCTATAAGTGTTCTGTTTTATTACTGAAATACTACACAAAGCAAACCATAGTCTATTAAGCCTCTCACATTGAGTACACGCAGTCCTTGACTTACAACAGTTCATTTCGTGACCATTCAAAGTTACAACGGTACAAAAAAGCAACTTATGACCATTTTTCACACTTATGACTGTTGCAGCATCCCCATGCTCACATGATTTACATTTAGATGCTTGACAACTGGTTCATATTTATGATCCTTGCAGTGTCCCGGGGTCATCTGATCACCAATTGGGACCTTCTGACAAGCAAAGTCAATGGGGAAGTCAGATTCACTTAACAACCGTGTTATTAAATTAACAATTGCAGTGATTCACTTAACAAATGGGGCAAGAAAAGTCGTAAAATGGGGCAAAACTCACTTAACCAATTTTTCACTTAGCAACATAAATTCTGGATTCAATTGTGGCCATAAGTCAAGGACTGCCTGTATAAAGAAGCAAAGTACAAAGAAATTACATTCTGGCATGTGTGTACCAACATTTACAAAATGACATATTCAGAACCAACTGCTGAACCAACAAGTTAATTATAAAAAGACTGCACAGTGTACTACTGAAATTCCCTCTGACTCTCACCACCCCCAGCTAAAGAGTCATATAAATGTCCCAAAGTTCACGGACATAATAACCTAAGCTTGTCTTTCTTTCCTTTTTTTTTTTCCACTTTAAGCTTGTCCTTGCAACAATTGCTTTCAGCTTCTGGGATAATAAGAAACAAGAAACAAGAATTTCGATAAAGATCAGTAGCCCGATTTCTCCATAGAATGATTCAAACCGAAACCGGGCATCCTCCGATATGCTGCAAAACAACTCCCATCAGTCATATCAGCAAAGTCAAAAGATAAGCAGGGATGGGAGTTGTCGTCCAAACCTATGCGGCGTGCAGCTGACCGCAGAAAGCATGAAAAGGCTGCGATGCGAGGGGCGAACAAGCCGCCGGCTCCCTTTTTGATCTGCCACGATCCCTCCGAACCTACTTGCCCGTACAGCTGACTTTGTCTCTTCATGTAGACGTGAGGCTGCTCCGCGGCCAGGGAATGGATACTGCCGATGAGAGGGAGCCCCGCCGGACCAGGCGGAAAGCCCGCGGGTCTCTTCTGCTTCAACAGCTGCCTCACCACCAGCGCCAGCACAAGGAAGAGGAGAGCCGCGCCGGTAACTAAACCCACCAGCAGCCCCTCGGACCACATTCCTTCCTCCCGGCCCCTCCCAGGCCAGTGGCTAAGTGTCAACACAGTTAGTCCAACCTTCGAACGCCGTAGTTGCTTTCTCCCTCCTTTTTTATAGGAGGCCTGAACTGCTTGTCACGCCATTGGCGAGTCGGATTGGTCGGTTCTTCTCACCCAGTGGCGCTGCTTTCCCGCTTCCTTCTCGGCGTCCGGATTCCAAATTCTACCCGTGGAATTTCATCAAGCTGGGACATCTTAGCCACGTGTTGCACGGAGTGAAGGTCCCTCCAAGCCAATGCCAAGGCTACGCACCCTCTGCCCCGCCTCTTTTTTAGACAGCTTTTCCAATAAACAAAACGGCTTATGTAACAATACGGCGTTGCTGAGAGCCTCTTTCAATAGGTGTGGAGAACACTTTATATTAGAACGTATCCAAGCCAGAAGTAGAGGATGCGTCTTCTCGACACTCGGTTTGAAATACCCTATGACTATCATTAAGTGTTGTACCTTATGATTCTTGGCAAATGAATCTTGTTTTTGTATGTACGCTGAGAGCATATGCACCAAAGACAAATTCCTTGTGTGTCCAATCACACTTGGCCAATAAAGAATTCTATTCTATTCTATTCTACTCTATTCTATTCTATTCGTCTTGAAATCTAGAGAGTTCCCAACAGTTTTACTTATTTGGGCTTTTGA